ACTGGACCGCAAGGCTTCCTTGCTTCTTCCCAAGCGAGAACTTTGTGGAGACTGAGACGCAGCCCTTCTGAGAGGGTTCACCACACTCAGACCCTGATGGGTGGGGTGAGGGCGGGGAGGCTGCTGAGCGGACAAGTTGGGTGCGGGCATCTCGCTCACAAAGGCGGTCTCAGATCAGAGATCGGACAAGAGTTCCCATACTAATTCTGGGGAGTCTCTTATGTCAAAGTCCCGGGCTGGGCTCGTTGTGGGGTGTGTGGGCAGAAATGAAGAAACTTCAGAAAAGCGCACTTGTGGCGTTCTGGGGCCTTCACCCTAGTTAGTGTGTTCATTCCAGACAGAAGTCACCTGGGACACGTGGAGCAGCCTCAGGGGGGTTTGTGAACCCCTCAAATTATATGCAAAACACGGGCTCAGGAGCATTTTCCTAGAGAGGGTCCAGAGCTTTCACCAGCTTCTCAAAGGATTTAGAAGAACCAGAACCACAGTGAAAGTAGATGAGACCAGAACTTTCTCATCTGATGCTGTACGGGCCCCTTCAAAATGGTCACCCTGGCAGGAGGTAGATGTACTCAAATGATACTGTCTGCTTCCATCTGGGGTTCCTTCCGGCTGTCCTCAGTGGTAGCTTTCCAACCATGGAGGGATGTCAGGCTCATTTCTCCCTGACCACATCTGGCTTTTGTCCCCAGAATGACCCAGCTTCATCACCCACCTTAGTCACCAGCTTTGGATCCAAATTACTGTCAGCCATTTCCAAAAATGCCATCTACCTTAACAAGGCAAAGATTTGTCACCCTCAAGAGCATTCAAGTGAACATGACAGCATTGCCGCAGGAGTTCCTGAAACTTACTTTAGAACTCCGTCCGAGTGGGCAAAGAGTATATAAAGGTGTATAGTCTTTTGTGTTGACTACTTTAAAGAGTCTGCTAGATCAGTAAGAACTCACTGATGTGACTCGGTAATGATGAATTGTAAGCATAACAGATAAACTAGCAAGACCCAGAAGGTGAGATAAAGGGTCAAGGAATGTGTAGAGGCAGTCAGAGAATGAAAGAGTTGTGGTGGCCAAGAGTGTGCCATCATTCATATGGCATTCAAGAGATTTCTCGATGTCCACTCTGGACCCTCGGTGAATACGACAGGAGCTCTCAGTGGATGGAGAGAGACCCTGCTTGTGTCACGTGTGCTAATACCCAACATCCAGGGATACAAAGGCCCTTTACTAGAGATTTCACTACATTTTCCCCTGTGTAGATATCTGGAAGGACCGGCACTGCTCGTAAAAGAAATTTACTCATCATGTAATAAATATTACTGAGCACCTACCATTGACCCTGTTCAAAGTGCTATGGTAAGTAAAATCTCCTAAGAAGCTTAAGTCTAGTAGAGGAGATAAGTATAAATACACAGGAGGGAGAATGTGATCCAAGTGTCACAGAAGAGATCAGACAAGGGGCTGGGGAAGGCAAAACTTGGAAGGCGGCTGTGGTCGATGACCTTAATGGTTTTGGGTCCTCATTCCTCTCTGTGTCCGTGCCCATTGCCATGGGACTTGGCAGCACTCCCTCACTGAATGCAAGTTGTAATTCCTGTCTCAGGGCAATGCTATTAGCACAGGCGACACAAGCAGGGTATTTAAAAGCGCTTGTGTGATTGGGCTTGTTCTCTAGGGCTTCTGTCATTGCCCCAGGAAGAATATTCTGGGCTGGCTCCCTGGTCCCAGGAGAGCCTCTGGAAGTAGGCAAGGCAAGCAGAACCGATGTTCCAAGAACAGGGAAGGAGGTGAGGAGCCTGAGTGCCCGATCCAGTTCATGGGTCAATCGGTGGTCACCTCGTTTTTATGACATTCCCTAACACAAGGAATTGAATCTGTAATTGCATTCCATTTTAATGCATAAATGGAAATGTCAGTAGGCAGATTGGTTAGAGGCTACCATACCAGCCAGGGGCAGGTCTATGAACTCCCTTCATGTCCCTTCCGCCTTCTTCATCCTCTGTAGCCAGCGGCGGGGAGCTCCCTGGATTGTGAACATCTCTGCACCCGGAATGCCATGTGGTCTGCCCCTTAGTTACCAAGTTTGGTCCTCAGCGGCTCAGCCTGGTGTCCAGCTGCCACCTGCAGGATTTGGAGAGTAAGGGCAGAAGTTGGCCTGGTCCTTTATCCCTGGGGCCCCTGGTCCTCACTAGCTTTACTCAGAGACACCTGACTATAGAGAGAATGGCCGCTGAGAACGACTCCGGACACATTCTCAAAACTCTTGGGAGATGCCTTAGTGGAGAAGCCCCAGGATCTCATCTGCCATTTTTATGAAGGCAACCTGTGGTAAGGGTCTGTCTGACTGGGCCTTACTTTCAAAAGGGGTCTGGGCTTGTTTCCAAATAAGAGGTACCTCCCCAAAGGAGCTGGACATTTTCAGGATAGCTGGGCTTTCTGTAATAGGCCCCTGCAGAGATTTTGGGGATGAAGGGCATGGCCCAACTCTGGAGGAAGTAAACTCGAGACAAAATGGGAGTGTGCTCTGAAGCCAGTGGGTCTGAATGTCTTTTTTTCCATTTGAGCCCTTATGAAGAATATAATTTATGTTTATCAGTAGCAATGTTTCTCACACAAGGGCTCATGTTCCCCAGGGGGAGGTTCCAGATTTCTTGGGCGAAAGGTCGTATGTGGTATAGAATTGGTCTCTCAAACTTCCAGTCATGAAAGCACATGGAGTACATACACTGGAATCCCCTACCCTCAACTTCATCACACACAATGGCCATATATAGTAAATACTGAGCTAATGCAAAGTCAAGAAAGATAAATCACCAGATGCCAGCAACACTGCAACAACCCACAGGGCCTCAAAAAATCTCTATAGGCTGAGGAACTGTGGTCCTAGGCTCCACATAGGGCCAGGAATTAGGACTCCGGGACAACTGAGATTTGCAACTGGGCTGTGTAAGGACAGGAGATAGGGAGGAGACTCTGTCCACTAGGTAAAATATTAGAACTCTCAGCCTCCTACCTGTGGCAAGGTGGGGCCCTAATTCCTTCTCCATACAGGGTGGAAACCCCACAGAAACTGACGTGAAAATGTGTTTGACTTTGTAGAGATCCCAGTAGAGACCATCTCAAAAACTTCCTTTAGAGGGAGGTGTCCTCAACCCCAAGTGCTTGTGGGATTACCTCAGATGTTAACTTCTGCTAAAGAGAAAAAATATAAAATATATGAGGAAGTCCATCACCACTCATTAATTAACAACAGTTTTCCTTGGATACCTTTTGTGTGGCAGGGGTTAGAGATACATCAGGGTATAAAACAGTTAAAAACTTACTACACTGTATGTTAACTCACTTGAATTTTAAATTAAAAAAAAAAAACAAACAAAAACTTTGCAGTTAGAGCTTACTTTTAGGTTGGGAGTGATAGACAAATATGCATAGTAGACTCAATGATTCAAGTTATGGAGAGAAGTAAAGCAGGAAAGGGGATTAGGACATAGTGGAGGCAGATGGCATAATTTAAAATATCATGATCAGGGAAGGCCCACAGGTGGTGAGGTGAGTCAAGTGGGTTTCTGAGGGAAGAGCAAATACAGATGCCCTGAGGCAGGAGCATGCTGGAAGTTGCAAAACATAGTCAGGAGGCCAGTGTGGCTGAAGAGGAGTAAGAGGGAAAATAACAGATGAAGCCAGAGAGGTGAGCCAGATTGGCTTTTTTGGTAAGGCTTTATGGCATTGCAACTCACTGGTTTTAAGCAGAGAAATGACACAATCTGACTTATGTTTTAACAGGAGTTAGGATCACTCTAGGATTTTTTGACCCAATTAACTGGAAGCAGGGAACTGAAGATGGGAAGACCAAAGTTAGACAAGAATCTTTGGGAAGGATAAGGAATTCAGTTTTGGATCATGTGAAGATATGGGGTAGACAGATAATGAATCCGGGGCTAAAAGAGGCTATCTATGTGAGGTATGAATTTGGAGGTCACAAGCATGGAGATAGGATCAGAAACCACATAACCAGATGAGATCACTAAGGATGTGAGAGAATACAGAGAAGAGCAGAGATTTAAAGACTGAGAACCAGGGAATTCTAGCATCGTGGGGTCAATAGTCCACATGCCCAACACGTAGAACTCATTCCTGATGAACAAGAAATAATAGATTTGAAAAGTAAGAATGCTGAAAATGTTCAGGTTGTTAAAAGAAAGACTAGCACCCACAAAACAAGGAGAGATCATGAAACATGAGCAGGCAGATATGATGAACAGGAACCACACAGAAATCCTACGAATGAAAAATATCACTACTGCAACAAAAATCTCAATGGATAAGCAGTAGACTAGGCACAGCTGAAGACGTAGTGAATTGGAAGACAGAATGAAAGAAATCCACCAAAGTGAAAAACAGATAAAAAATTTCTTCAGGTGGCATTTCTATTAAATGCTCTCACGGGGCAAGCTCCTTACCTTCCAGGTTAGGAATCACTGTTGGAAGCAGTCAAACTTTTGAATTGGTCCAGAAATGGAACAAAACTCTTAACATGAAGGAAAAAGTAATTTATTTCTAGAATTGGGAAGATGTGGTGGCAGGATTGAAGACCTCTGCTAACAAGAGCTAACATTTGCTGGCTGTGTGGTGTGTGCCCGTCCCTGCAGGACTCTCACCAAGGCTCTCCATGAAGCTTACCTAGATGAACCTCAGGATCAGCGCTCACCTGAGGGGATGTGACTTTGTGACTTAGATGATTCTTCCTTTCCGGGAAGGTCAATTATATACCCAACTCTCAACACTTGCTGATGGTGCATCTTTCCCGGTCAAACCTATCATGCTAATAAGTTCATCAACCATAAAGTCTAGTGATGGATTGTTTCTCCCCTCACCTTGCCATTGTGGAAAGAAAGAAAGATGAAGATGACCCAGGACTTGAGAGGATCAGATCCAGAGTTATCGTTGGCTTCTGAACTGTCCACGTTAGCCTGGTTTTAAAGAAAAAACACACTCCAGACCTATTTTGCTCATAAACAACTTTTATTTTTGTTCTCAGTATGTGCCCTTGAAGATTCCAAAATGTCTGGAGTTTCTGATTCTCCTGGGACCAGAGGTGAAAGCATTGCATGGAAACACTCAACCTTGGCGCATCGCTCTCTCCCGAGGAGCTACATTTGAAGGCCTCAGAGAGAGGGAGCTGACACTCACACCTTATTCCAAGATGGGTAACACAGTGAACGAAGAATTAGTAAAACATAGACTCAGTCTGTAGAGGGCTTCAAATATACATATTCTATATATATAAACCTGTTATATAGGATTTCAACTTATTGGTTTCCTTGCGATTTGTAATTAAAGTACAAATGATATAGAGGTTGTACACTGCTGCTTTCCCCTTCTTGGCGCCCCCCTCCCTCCCCAACATAAATAACATTACAAAGGTCAGGTGATCCTAAGAGTTTTTGTGGTTGTAAATATTTTGTTTTTAAAACTCATTTCCCCTTGCTCCCCTGCAAACTACCTCCGAGGGTTTGTGACATAGCAGCATGGACCGGACGCGACAGGGGACGGCATATGGATCTCACAGCGAGAGCGCATGACGTTGCTCCTCACTGGCACCAGAAGGGCTTCTGCGTTTCCACTGACAACAGAGGCTGCGACAGGAAGCAAAAAATGTGCGACGCGGTTTCATCCTCCGCCAACAAGGAGGAGGCGGACGACGGCTGGACCACTGAGAAAAGCCCTAAAGGCATCGAGGTTTTGGAGACAGAGAACAGCTCCAGAAACGTCTTGGCTCAGTATTTACACGGTATCTTTCTGCTGCATTTTCCTTTTGAGACATTTGTGTTTCCGAGGTTGGCTGGGGGAAAGGGGGGACTTAAAAACAAAGACAAACTGATTCCCACATACGTAAAAGTCCTGCTGTAAGTCTTACTCAGTTATTTTCACACACATCATTAAAAGTAGATACTGACAATGATTGGTTTCTTTTCTTATGCTTTTTTTTTAAGAGCATGAGAAGAGCAAGAAATGAGCGAGAAAGACAGAAAGAGAGAGAGAGAGAGAGAGAGGAGGGTGCACTAAGGAGAGCGCCGTCCCTTCTTTAGCATTAAGTGACACTGGATGGTCTGGATTCGGTTCTTGGCCGGAACGAACTCAGGCTGCAGCTTCAGCGTCGATTCATACCACACCAGGGCTTTCTCAAACTCCTCCTGTGAGGGGCAAAGGGACAGATGTGAGAGGGATACCACCACCTGGCTAAGTATGTACCGTGACTTCTTCCTCGAGAAGCACCTCTGTGCTAGGAGCAATCCTGCCGTGTTTTCTCAAGGGACCTACAACTCTGAGGAAAACTCTGAGGTCTGGAAGGGAACACCACCCCCAAGGTACAATATCACAAAGAAAAGGAAGGCAGAGCCCAAAAGTCAGAGGGCAAGGGGAGATGGACTTTACAAAGGTCTGACCCAACAGTGGGAGTAATCCTGGAGGTAACAGTGAGGACCAACATTGCTGAGTACCGGCCGTGTGCCAGGCACTGTGCCGGGTGCTTTATGAAAACCCTCCATTTAATCCTCACAGAAACCTCTAGAACTGGGCCTGGCAAATGCTCCTTAGGCATCTGCCTGAATTTTCTACTATAGCTAGAAAGATGGAAGTTAAGTATCTGTTAAGTGCTGTAAATTTTGAAACAGTTTTTTGGTCTCCGTAGCATTTAAAAACATGAACATCGTCTGGAAATGACTGCTGTCATATTGAAGGTATTAATCTTTTACTTAGACCAATAGTCTCAAAGAAGAGTCCAAACCAAATGGTTAAATGACTCCTTCTAGGCAAATGAGAGGCAGAATTCCTCATTCATAGTAGCAAATTTCCCATTTACTGGGGACAAAAACAGATGCTTCGATTTTAAGAAGCAGAGAAGGAAATCTGCACATTCAGCAATACCTACCTGGCCAAATTATACTCGCTGCCTTTCAAGTCAAGGATGACACATAAAACTTACAGCTTCAAGCTGCTCATTCTATTAACCTTTATTGAAAGGAACTTCGGAATCGCCCCATGTGGGACACCAAGCTTTAGATGAAAATGCATGGCACGATTCTCATGTTAAATTCAGCTATGACAACTTCCAGGGGACCCCTGGGATTTTAAGTTCTGAACTCCGTCCTTGTTTCTGACCAGAATGAGGGTTCTGGATGATGGCTTTGCCATTTTCTCTGGAAATGGTATCCTGTGAAACTAGTGGCATGCCACCATTCATGAAACACGTGATGAGCACCTAGTATGTGCCAGACACTGTGACATGCTAGGAAGAGAAAGATGAAGAGGAATCTCTTCCCTAAGGAGTGCACTGTCTAGGGGGAGAGACAGATACTTAAAAAATTATAAAACAAGGCAAAAATATGGCAAGGGAGACATGTACAGGGCCTCATGAATGCAGTGACACAGGTACCTAGCCCCACCTGAAAGCAAGAGAGCCCAGGTGCTTCTGTCCACGTGGAGTGTCAGCTAAGGTTTTCTGGAACAGGTGAAGTCTCCAGAAAATTGTAGGTAAATCTGACTCTATTGTTAGCGTGACAATCACCAGGAGGAGCTACACAGTTGCAAATACTTAGATGAATTTCCTGTCCCATTTTTTTTTTTTTTTAATTCACAAACTCCTTAGCCATGAAATAGACCTCTGGTGGAGCTAGCAATCGGAGCCACAAAACGTACAGGGAGCTGGAGGACATGGACACCATCAAGGGAGTTTGAAAGCAAAGGTGTGCCAGGGAGGGACAGCGGCAGAGCTGGCATGCCCTGCCCACCCCAGCAACCTCACCATCGCCACGTAGACGTTGCCCAGCGTGAAGTGGTTCACAGCAAAGTGTGGCGCGATCTCTACGGCCATGGTAGCCACTATGACGGCGTCGTTCCAGAGCTTGGCGTTGTGCAGGATGTTAGCCAGGCTGATAAGGGGCACGTCCTGGGAAAGGAAGGAGAATGGTGAGAAGGAAAGGATACTGATTTCTGAGTTTTCATTCCTGGTGGCTCCAATCCTTAATAATGCAGTAAGTTCTTCCTGGTGAGTGACTGAGTAATACAGCTGAACCTGCTGGTCTTCTGTTTGCCACTGGTCTGTGACAGATGAGCAGGCTGCATGGGGACATAAACCAATGCATTACTTTTTTCATTAGGAAAGTCTGGCCTCAAAACACAAAGCACAAGAGTCAACTGAGTAAACAATCTGCTTAGTGAAGTTGCTGGTGTACTGCTGGGGCAGGTTCCTGACTCGCTGCAGACTCATAATAAACAGTTTGTGGCCCGACACCTGCCCACAGACCACACTTGGGAGTCTTGCTGTCGGAGAGTCAAAGTGTCTTCTGCAAGGTCCACGGCATCATCTGCTTGAAGCAGGGGCCAGCAAACTCTGGCCTGCTAGCCGGATCTAGCCTGCTGCCTCTATTTGTAAGGTTCTTTTTGGAATGTAACCATTCCTGTCCTTTACTTATTTCTGTGGCTGTTTCAGGCCCACATGGCAGAACCGAGTGGCTCCAACAGAGGCTGTCTGGCCCGCACAGCCTAAATTTCTTACTGTGTGGCCCTTTACAGAAAACGTTTTCTGGCCCCTGACCTAGAGTATCCAATGGCTGGAAGTACAGAGCACAGAACGATGGGCTGAACAAGTAGCAACCCAAGCAAGTACCACCTGTATCACACTGTACAGGGTTCTACAGGCAATACAGAAGACCTAGGGAAAAAGGAACCCCCTCTGTCCTTACTGGACACTCGTAGAATGAGGCCATTATATAACTTGCCTAAGGTCACAAAGCTCGCAAGAGGCAGAGCTCCGGACACCATTCCATACGCTGCCCTTACGAACCAAGGACACACGCGCCGTGTCTTCAGGAAGTCTGAGATGTGGAGGCGAACGCAGAACTCAGCACGCGTGGATACAACTGCGCTGTTAAAAAGCTGAATGTTCTCAGTCATCACAGCAATAACTGGCATCTTTGGAAAAGACTGATATGACACTGAGTTAGCAGGGCTTTTTCTTTTTGTGGAAAAGGTGAAGTCAGAGACGAGGAACTGGCCGATATGTAAGAAGAGATGGAAACTGCATCAGTTTCAGTGTCTGGAAACAAGCTTAGGTCAGCAGTATACATAAAACAAGTGTCACAGGCCTCCAGGCCCCTGGGGGTAAGCTAATCCCAGAAGGACTTGCGGGGTGACGGCCTGCCTACGCCAGTGTATTTGTTGTACGTTGGGCGGCTCTGCATACGGTGGAAGGGGCATTAAATGATGGAATCTTGAAGACCTTCCCCCATGTTCCTATTTTCAGAGGCAGGGAAGGCATAAGTGGGGCTGAAGTTTCTTCCAGCCTATGCTAGCATTTTGCCACTTTCTTACTGGCTGAGTATGAGGAAGCCTAGGTGAAACCTCATAACCAACAATGGAAAGGACCAAGAGCCAGAAATTCGCACCTCTGAGTCCTACTCACCTTCATCTGGTGTGGAGCATAGTGGAGGGCCTGGCGGAGGCAGTCGATGGCCTTCTTTCCTTGGCCTTTCACTCTCCAGTAGAGGGCTGCCATGCTGGAAAGGACCCAGGATGTCTGGTTCTACAAAGGAACGGTCAATTGAAGCTGATGTCTCTTAAATATATATATTAGAGAGGTTAGTCCCTTGCCTGTGACATGAATTACAGATACATTCCCTCAGTTTTCTGATATGTGTCTTTGGACCTATGGTGTTTTGTGTGATGTAGGTTTTGATGTCCACAGTTCAGCTGATTAATTTAGATGGCTTCTGGATTTTCAGTTGTAGCTGACAAGGTCTTGCTTACTTCAAGGTTATCAAGAAATTTTACCACGCTTTCCCCCCAGAACTTTTATAGTTTCATTTTTCACATTTAAATATTTGACCCATTTGAAATTTAACTTGGTGTAAAAGATATGGCTTCAACTTAGATGGTTACTAAGTTGTCCCAATAAAATGTAACAAATAATTCATCTCTCTTCCCCCAGTGTACCTCTACCATATACAAAATTTCAGCACTTAATATAGGTCTAATTTTGGAGTTTCCTATTTCATTTGTCCCCTTTGATATGGTCTCTAACTCCCAGCCATTACAGATGAAGCAATCAGAAAACTTACCCTGCTTTCTACCTTCTTTCTTTCTTCCAATCTAATTTTTTTGGTAATTTTATTATTCTTCATTGTCAGGGCATGTAGTATTTATATTCTGTTCTATCACCCTATTTCCCATATTTGTTTTCCTATTGGTTTTGCAGTTAAATATATTCATTGATCATGACATTACTTTTGTGTGGTTTCCCCAATCATCTCGTGGTTGGCTGAGGTTCAGTCCAATACTGTTGGTGGGAACAATATTCTGGGAGATTGTTACGGGCTGAATCGTGCTCCTCCAAGACACATATGTTGAAATCTCAGCCTCTCATACCTCAGAATGTAACGGTATTTGGAGATAAGGTCTTTACGGAGGTAATTAAATTAAAACGAGGCCATCAGTGTGAGGGCTTAATCCAGTAAGACTGGATTTATATGAAGGATTCACAGGAGAGGAAGAGATACGTCAGGGTCCTGTGTGCAGAGGGATGACCCTGTGGAGAGGCAGCAAGAGGCTAGCCATCGGCAGCCAAGGAGGGAGGTCTCAGAGGAAACCCACCCTGTCAGCCCCTGGACCCCGGACTTGTAGCCTCCAGAAATGTGAGAGAACAAACTTCTACCGTTTAGGGTACCCAGTCTGTGGTGCATCGTTACGGTAGCCCTAGCAAACTAACAGACATATCCAAAACTTTTTGTCTGCAGCCTTCATACCTGAAGGACAGCTGGCTCATTCTTTCTTTCCTTGAATAATGTGTTGGCATTGTTCCATTGCCTGGTGGCTGCAAAGGAATCTGAGGCTGCCTGACTTATTCCCCCTTCTTAGTGACTTGGTCCTTTTGACTGGTTTCTCAAAAGGATTATTTTTTAAAACTCAAATTATCTTTCCTTAATGCCAGTATTTCACACATACAAAAGAACATGTTTATATAATTATATATACATATAACACATGATTATATAAAAATATACACCTATGCTATAAAACATAAAGTAACGAATATCCCAGAAGCTGCCACCCTAGTGAAGAATGAACCTGCAGCCAGCCACCTATGTGTCTAGCCTCTTGTCTTTTCTCCAGAGGCACACACCATCCTAAATGCTATTTCATTGCTTTTTAATTTTTATTTAAAGCTTTTTATTTATTCATTTGAGACACACACACACACACACAGAGAGAGAGAGAGAGAGAGAGAGTGAGCATGAGCAGGGGGAGAGGCAGAGGGAGAGGGAGAAGCAGGCTCCCCGCTGAGCCAGGAGCCTGACGTGGGGCTCGATCCCAGGACCCTGGGATCATGACCTGAGCTGAAGGCAGATGCTTAACCACCGGAGCCACCCAGGTGCCCCTCCATTGCTTTTTTAAACACTGTTCCATCTCTCTCTCTCTCTCTCACACACACACACACACACACAAATTTGCTTCAACAATATAATACTCCGTGTACTTCATCCCATGCATTATAAAAGCGGTCTAATACTGTAAGGAGTCTTCTGGGACTTGAAGTTTTTACTGAATACTCTATTTCTAAAATCCATCCATGTTGTGTGTAGCTTTAGCTCAATTTCCTTGCTGCACAATTAAATGTCCACTAAGTGAATATATTATACTGTATTTATCCATTTTCTGTAGACGGGGCCTCTATTTCCTGTTTTTAAGTTTTCTGTTGCAAATAAATGTGCAGTTTCTCCAGTCTAGAGTAGGTACCTAGGGGTAGGATTGCTGGTTCACAAGATATGCAAATGTCCAACAGAACAAGAGAATGCTAACTTGTTCCTTACAGGTGCTGCAACAATCTACAAACCCATCATCAATGTTTAGAAGTGCTTCTTGCTTTGTAGCCTTTCTAATTCTTGGTGTCATCAGTGGGGGTAAAACAGCATCTTACTGTGGTCTTGGTTTGCATTTCCTGATCATTAGTGAGACTGAAATTGTTTCTTGAGTTTATTGACCACACACATCTTCTTTCAGTGAAGTGTCTGTTAATATCTTTTATGTACCTATTTTATTACTTATCTTTCTCATCAATTTGTTTGTATGTTCTGCCTATCAGTCCTTGTAGGTTGAATGTGTTACACATACTTTCTCTCACTCTGGATTATCTTTCATTTAAAAAATGCATTTAATTAAAAAAAGTTTAAACTTTAATGTAGTTGAACTTACATTTTCTTTTCTAGTTAGTGCTTTAGTATCTTAAGAAATCATTTTCTATTCCAAGGCCAGAAAGATCATCTCCCACATTTTATTCTAATTTTTAAGGCTTTGTTTTTCATACTCAAATCCTTAATTCAAATGGAATTCCTTTTTTGTGTAAGTTGTGAGGTGAGGATGAATGAGCTCAGCAATTGCCCCAGCACAGCTTCCTGCAAAATCGCCCCTCTCCCAGCTGATCTTCCACAGTCCAATGTATGTCAGAGTCTGCCTCAGGACTTTCCATGTAGTAACCCCCTCACCCCGTCATTATTTGTTTATCTTGAGCACACGGCATATGCCTTGTTTTATAATTTTTCATAAAAGTAAGGCAATTCTCCCAACCTTATTTTTTTCAAGAGTGTTATGTCTATTCCTTACCCTTCCATATAAAGGTCTGCTTTTCAAGTACCATAAAAAAAACCAAACTTGTATTTTGATTATAGTAGCATTGACCCTATAAATCAAATTAGGGAAAAGTGACATGTTTATGATGTGTGTTGTCTTATCCATGAACATTATATATCTATTTAGGTCTTTTAAAATGCCTTTCAATACAGTTGTATCACTTTGTGCAGACAGGGCTTACAAATTTTTTGTTAGATTTATTATTGGGCACTTTATATTTCTGTAGCGATGGAAATACACTTTGAAAATTGTATTTTCAAATACTTTTTGCTACTGTATAGAAACGCAACTTATTTTTATTGACTTCACAGGCAGCTATCTTGATAAAAATGTTATTTCTAAAAATTTGTAGATTCTTTTGGGTTTGCTATGTAATCACATTTCTGAATATTTTGGTTTTTTTCTTCCTAATACTTAGGCCAATAATTTTTTTTTTTAATTTACTGTACTTGCTAGGACTTTTGGTACAAATTTGGAAAAAAGTGGTGATGGTGGGCATTCTCTTTCCTGATTTTGAAGAATTATTTTAAATATTTCCCCATTAAGAATCATCTTTGCTGTGGGGTGCCTGGGTGGCTCAGTCAGTTAAGTGTCTGTCTTCGGCTCAGGTCATAATCCCAGGGTCCTGGGATTGAACCCTGCATCAGGCTCCTTGCTCTGCGGGAAGGCTGCTTCTCCCTCTCCCACTCCCCCTGCTTGTGTTCCATCTGTCATATAAATAAAAAATCTTTAAAAAAAAAAATCTTTGCTGTAATACTTTGTTGATTCTTCTCATCAGATTAAGGAAGTCCTGTCTATTTTTAATTTGCATTAATTTACATCATGAATGGTATCGCATTTTATCAAATACAATCTACTGAAATAACTTCATAATTTTAAGCCTTTAATTTGGTTGATGAAATACAGAGTTTTCCTAAAGTTAGACCGTTTTTGTATTTCTGGGATAAACCCAACTTGATCAAGGTGCATCCTGTAAAAGAAAAATATATGCTGTTGGATTTAGTCTGTTAAAATTTGTTTTTTTTTTTTTTTTTTTAAAGATTTTATTTATTTGAGAGAGAGAGACAGCGAGAGAGGGAACACAAGCAGGGGGAGTGGGAGAGGGAGAAGCAGGCTTCCCGTGGAGCAGGGAGCCCGATGCAGGGCTCGATCCCACGACCCCGGAGATCACGACCTGAGCCGAAGGCAGACGCTTAAGGACTGAGCCACCCAGGCGCCCCTTGGCTTATGGTTTTGATACCTATGTTTGTGAGTGAGCTTAGAGTATAATTTTTCTTTCTCATAATGTCTTTGTCTAGTTTTGTTTTCAAGGTTACACTAGTCTTGTCTCAAGCAATTAACCGGAAAGTTGTTCCCTTTTCTGCTGTCAAGAGTCTGTTTATACTAAGATGGTGTATTTCTTAAAAGTTTGGTAGAAGTCATATGTAAAATAAACAGACCTTATATTCTTTGTGAGATTTTTTTTTAACCTACCGCTTCAATTTATTTGAGTTATGATACCCAGATCAATTTGGGTAATTACATTTTTCTAGAAATTTGTCTTCTTTACAAATTGTTTTCAAGTTTATTGGCATAATTGTATCATTTTCTTATCTTTTTAGCTGTAGTTCTGCTTCCCTTTTTCCTCAGTATTGGTTATTTGTGCTTTATTTTTTCTTGATTAATTCTGACTAGTGCTTCGAAGAAACAACTTCTGGATTGTGGATCTCTATTCTACCTTTGGTTTCTGTTTCATTGATTTCTGCACCTAATAATAGAACTTAAAAATGCAAGAATAAAAAACTGATAGAAAATAAAATCTATACAAATTCAGAATTGTAGCTGTAGATTTCAATATGCTTCTCAATAACAGATAGAATACACAAAAAAAGGGTAAAGATAAAGAAGACATGAACAATA